AAAGTTGTTTTGGTACGTGCGCATGACTGGTTTGATGACCACAGTGAAGTTTCGGTTGAGCAACAGGTTGAACCTTATTTAGAGTTTTTGCGGCCTCTGCTTTCACAGGTCGCTGACAACACCAATGCTTCTTGGTGGCTTCGGTTGCTGAGCTGTGTGGCTCACTACGCCAGCTGCTGCCCCCAGGAGCGGTTGCGCATGGCTGAGGTGATTGCAGACACCTGCAATCTCAGCGAGGACGACGAGTCCCCGCAGCATGGCTTGGGAGAAGATGAGAAACATCTTCAGCTGGCTGAAACCGACAAGGCCTTTAGGGCCATTATGACCCTTCTCGAATATGACAGGTTCGAGGAGGTGACGAAATTGATTGGACAGCTTGGAGGAGCACTTCGTGAAGTGAAGCCGGAGAGCTCCAAGTCTGACGAAAGCATGGCTGAAGAAACTCCAGCAGAAAAGGCACAGCGGTATATGGGCTGTGGGCAATCTGAAGTTTCGGACCCAGACTTCTGGGCAGATGTTCACTATGGCCCAAGGAGTCATCGAGAAGAGACAGAACCCGATGATGGCACGGGACTCCAAGAATTCTGAGAGGCAGCAATGAAAAGGCACCACAGAAGAGTGTCGCTTGGTGGGGAGCAGACGCATCACGTGGCTCCAGTGCCAGTAGTTGAAGCAAAACATTCTTCACCCTTTAGACAAGCTCCAAAAATGGAGAACTGATGGTCACACAACTGACCTGCGGAGCTGTAGCCATAGTGGAACTCCAAAATATTTGGGTTCCAAGGCGGGGTGAAAGATACTTCCGCATTTGGATTCATGCACATGTACACATCAGTTGTGTAGCTGTGCAGATGACATTGCACAAACCGAGTAGTGCATTTCAGGTTGTACTCTGAGGCGCTTTCGGTTCCAGAAAAGTTCGCACTTTTGCAAACCATACTGGAAAGGTCCAAGGAAGGTACCCTTTGGTAAGCTAGCTATGGAACATGGGCCATTTAGTTGATTTACCTGTTAAGAATGGAAACTTTCCATAGTAAACTGTTAGTTTGCTAGAGCGTAAACCCTTCTTCCATATGAACTTGGACCGAGGTCAAGAATTTCTATTGAAAATTTTGGATGTCGGCATGTTCCATGACTTTTTTTTTTGGCTGAGGTTTTGGTGACCATGTATATACGACAAAATGTTTCAATATATGGGAGTTTCTTAAAATGAGGGATCCCCAAAACCATGGGTTTCAATAGTAAAAGGGACTATAATTTGGGGGACTATAATTTGGATGATTTGGGGGTACCCTTAGGAAACCTCCAGATATAAAGCCTAGCGTCTATTCAGATGCCTGGTTGCTGGTTTCAATCGTGTTTTTTTTTGACATGTATCCCTTTGATGGATGCGTTTCTCAACCAATACATCTATGAAATTAGCATTGGTTCACTGTCCCATTTTTGTCGGTGAAATCCGGAGTTGCTGTTGATGATCTTTCTTACATCCCTGCAATGTTAACCATCATTAGTAACCACCCAGTTTATTACTAGGGGCGGCACCAACTTTAATAAAAAATTCTCATAATTGACTAGTTGATCACTAATCTGGGGGTAACCCTCATAAGGCTCCAATTAAAAAAGGCCGGATTGCTTGATCCGTCCAATTTTTTTTGTGTGCCAGGAACGTCGCGGCCCAATGTTCTGTGCTGAACTTCCCATTTGGGGTTGGCGAATGCCTTGCTGAAGATGATTGGTGTGTTTTGGCAATGGGAAATCCACTACTTCTTTGGGGAATTGATCAAGTCCGGATCAGCAAATCCAAGAATGCCTTCATTTTTCATTCACATCAACTCATCAATGGCTTCAGATGCCCAAACTGGAGCTACTGTACCATTTTTGAAGCCATATGTCAGGGCTATATTCCCCGAAATTTAGCTCTTAATAGACCTTAAAAAAGTGGTACGTACCTCCAAACATCAGTACCTGAAATGGCCACTGAACCATTGGGTTTCGAAAATCTCCAGCAGATCCGGCTGATGTTGTGATGTTCAATATCATTCAAAATCCCAAGAACGGGACATTTACCAACCAACCCCTGGAAATTGAATCAATTTACAATGGAATCCCAAAATGGATTTGATTTTAACAGTAAATCCATGCAACCCAAGACTTCAAGATGCTGTTTTTGGGGATCCCTTGAGACAAATCAGGCCAGGGCATTATTAAAGAACGACTTCAACGAACAAGCAACAAACGTCTTTCTGATTTAGAAGCCATCGCTTGGGAATCGCTTGATACTGAGGAACTCTGGTATCGTTGTTTTTTTCCACAAGAACGAAAAAAAAAAACTCAACAAAACACATTCGTTCTGGATTGCTTAATGATGCCGTGAACCGTGCTCTGTGGCTCAAAAGTTGAAAGAATTTGACAGCGAAGATTCACCTGGGACACACTTGGACGACCTGGAGTTGATGTACAGTTTCCTTCAGAAAACCCCATAGTATGCCACCAACATGTTTGACCACCCTTAAAATCTATGAGACCCTCTAAATTCGAAACATACATATATCATCCAACTTTTCTCACCATGTAGTCACCAAAAAAAAATTGATCTTGATGATCGTGATTCTACTTCCCAATGGCGGATCCATCGCTGGCAGTTGTGGAGCTGGAGCCGATCGGTGCCTTGGGGCGATGCCATGGAACAATTCTTGGAACACCCGGCGGAGTGAATTCCTTGGGATTTGTATACCAAATAACCAGCCTTCTATACTTATAGAATCTTATAGACCCATATATATATATATAAATATATATACACACATATTTGCATGATTTTACATGATTTTATATACCAAGATATTTCCCTGTACATAGGTTATTAGCCTCATAGGTATATACTGTAGATTTACGGGCATACAAACTTACAAAAGTATATAAACTATAGAAAAACAACCCTGATATACTTATATACCAGTAGTACCCGCACGAGGCGGGGCGGAAGTTGCCTTAAATATATATATATATAAGACCTTTCTCATCTATAGAACTTGCATGCGCCGTGCGCCAGCGAAGCCCGTGCGTGCGTGCACTCTTCGAAACTGGTGCGTAGACTGGCGTGGGCTATGAAACTTTCCATGAGCTCGAGTTCGCTCATGAGAACGAGTTGCCCTTGTTTCCAATCAGGCTCTGCGAGCAGTGGCCACCAGCACCACAGAACAACGAACGAGGCACTTGCCAAAATAAATTTGTGTTCAAGAAAAGCCTCGTCTTCGCAGAAGATCGGCAGATGACCAACGCCAGAGGCGTTGCTGATCAGATTGCTGAATCTGTGGCACGCATGGGCATCTTCCGAAATTACGCGCAGCTTAATACGCCTGGTGTGAATACGCCTGGAAAAATCAATGCAGATTGCTGGTCCTGTCCCAGCCTCCCATGGCTTCATTTTTTCACATGGTTTGGATAGGTTTGGATTGCAGTGTTGGCATGTTATCGCTGTTGATTAAGGCAGCTGGGGTAAATCATTGGGGACAGGATTCCCATTGGATCGCCATAGGCTCGTTGGGGCTGACGCCTTGTATTGGTCAATGCTCAGCAGCTTTGGTTTGATGGATCTCCTTTTGTCGGCATGTCACTAATCCCATCTCCCTCATACAGTACATCTCATGTGGATTCCAAAAAGAATGGATCCCATGCTAAACCAAGCTGTCTACGTGGGTATGTATGTAATACAAGATGGATGGGATTCTCAATGTTTCAAAGGAAGACACTGAACATGAAACACACTTTTGCGTTGATGTTCCTGTGCTGATACCCATTGTGCAGTTTGCAGCTCCAGTCGCAGACAATTTTGGAAGAAAACAGTTCTGCAACGGTCATACGTCATAAGGACAATGTTTCGTGATGATGGCAGCAAAAACTCATAGAGAGAGAGGGAGAACCACGTATTTCCAGAGTGCCTATGATAGGTCTTCACCAGTCAAACGTAATGGGGATGGATTATAAGTTAGGACCCAAAATAGATCCCATATTCCAGGGACAACTATCCATGTGCCAGCCATTCACCAGCTATTTTTTTATGATTTTGATGTCCATAATGTCACAACAACGACATACAACGACTCTATTGATCTCTGGCGGCATATCTTGCCCATCTCTGGGTGGCAAAGTCCACCTGGCGCATCAGCCTCAGCTGTCGGATGTGCTCCGGATTTTTCCCCCAGGGGCGGGAGCGAACAGACATGGTAAACATTTTTGCTGCTTTAATGGTGAGATACTTTCTTTTTTTTCCAGCTAGGAGGTGTGAGATTTCATGTTTGCTGGTAGACTTGGTAGCTGTTTCAGTCTCTTAAGCAATGTTTGTTGGGTTTGTGGAAGGGAGAGATCAGTAAAATGGGGTTTCGTTGGCATTTCATGGGAAATCATCTTTGATCAAATAGGGGAAGTTCACCAACCAACATGACGGCTGTTTCGAACAACGCTTGCGTAACGGTTCAGTTGAAAAACTGATGTTGGCGACGTTCCTGCACTCTTCGGCTGAGCCGAGGCCGTGGGGCCGTGCTGATTCCTCAAAGGACTCGAACTTGGGCGAGACGATTGGTGAAGCTCCGTGAAGCGTTCAGGTCATGTTCTCTTGACCGTCGAAGGCAGTTGTTCGCTGTTTGATCACCCAATGCCCTGGCAGACCTAGAGGCGGATCAGAAGTCGTTTAAAAAAATAATCTCAAGTGACGGAAACCAGTTCTGCGTCCATCTCGTTGGACGATATTTTTTTCATTACAACAATTAAAACAACCATGCCATTTGTGATTGTTTTAGCTGCTTCACTTCCTCAGATTCTATTTTTTTCTTGTTGAGTCAACTTTGAACTTTTGTGAATACTAAATACATCTAAGTGTATGATCTAGTTGCCATATCAATGGATATTGGAAAAAATCCATAGATTCCCCATCGTTCCATCGATTTTCATCATTTGTTTTGTCACCAGGACCTCTCCCCCACGCTGTTTCGTGTCACGCAATGGGCTCCAGTAGCAGCTCGGAGGCGGGGCAAAGGTCTTCGACATGTTCGACACTTTCGGGCCTTTTTGGGCAGAGAAAATGGTTGGTTTATGTTGGTTTTTCCTGTTTTTTTCATTGTTTGAAGTGTAGAATCTAGTGTAGAACATGGATTTTATCACAGCTCGCTCAAATTGTTGAGTTTCAAATCATGTGCCACGTAGATCTGCACGAACTTTGGACGCCTTTGCTAGGCCGCAGCTGCCGGGCCAATAGACACTGAGGTGCCAATGTTTTGTGGTGTGGAGATTGGGACAGATTGGACGGGAATTTTCAAGCACAAACAATAACAAACAGGAACAAAATCATTCAACCCTGGAAAGTGGGGTGGCCAAGCGTTGAAAAGGTCCTTGACCCTCAAACTGAGATTGGTGGGATTTGTTGAATGTTTTTGAGCACAGAAAATGGTTGGTTTTCATCGCCCACCCTTTGGATGCAGAAAATTGATCTCGACATTTCTCGCCATTGTTGAGTTTCAAATCGTTGCCACCTCGCTGCACGAACTTTGCTAGGCCGCAGCTGCCGTGGCAATAGACCCTGAGGTGTCAATGTTTTGGGTGTGGAGATTGGGACGGATTGGACGGGGAACATTTCCATCAATTTCTTGGGGGGTGGAAATGTGGTGCCTCGACTTTCAGATTCTGCTGATGGTGTCGACAACCGTCCTCGTTGGTAAACCTGCCATGGTCCAACTGATCCGTTCAGCTAGCAGGTCTGTTTGAAATTTCGAGTTTGGGGCGATGTTCTGTTCAAACAACTCTGGACAGGGTATCTTAAAACTTTGCAAAACAATTCTCTGCGAAACAGTTGGCATTCTTGCCCGTCAAGGCAGACAAAGCTGCAGCTAAAAGCTGTCAAGACCTGAGATTGTTGAATTCGCTCAGCGGGCTACAGGTAGCTTTCTGTTGAGTTAAATTTGTCACAGTACGTAAGTTTATTTTCCATAACATTTTTTTCGAGGGTTCTATGTGTTGGAAATTTTGGGCCTCAAGATTTGCTTTGTCATCCTCATCCCCAGGCTGGCAAAAGAACAAAATCCATGCAGTGTTGGAGGTTTCATGATGGTTTTTTTTATTTCAGGCTTTAACGAGCCGTGCCCCTTCCAGCAGCTCCCAAGGGGTTGGGCCCGTGCCCCGAGGCAAGGACATGCATCAGGCCGCCAAGGAGGGCAACGTGGGTGCCGTGAGGCGCTTCCTGCGTGTCGACCCCGAGAGCCTGGAGAGCACGGACTTGTTGGGCCGCAGCCTCGGAGCCGAAGTTGGAAACTTCGGTGAAGATGAGTGATCCGGTGATCCACGCCTTCCGTAAGCTGGGTATGTTTTTGGTGAAGTCAGGCTTGGTAAGGGTTCCAATAGGCCGACTTGGGTCCTGACTGTGTGGCACCACCAAATTGCTGTGGAGGCACTTGAGGGTCCAGGGAAGACTTTCATTTTGCTACCCTCGATTCGTGTATATGAACCAGGTTCCGGACTGTAGGCAGGCCTTGTGTGGTTACGTTGCTTGTCTTTGTTTTGCCAGATGGTGCCACTGATGAAAGTGCCAAAAAGCAGGTTTGCCGGGTCAAATCTCTTACTTTCTTAATATCATCTCTGTCCGCACAGCAATGACATAGCACAATGAAGGATGATTGATCAGTCGGTATGGATCAGGGATAAGGGCCTGAAGATGTGATATTAAAAAACAACGTCGGTGGGTTTCAATCCTTCTGAGTGAAAGCTGATATGGATATGTTCGGACTCTCAAGTTGAGCAACATAGACTCCAAATACCTTTGTTTTCAAACCTGTACCAATCAGATATGTTTCAACCCCGCTCAAACCTTCCTTTACACTGTGTAAGTTTCCCTTGGCAGAAATACTTGTTCAATGACTTTCATGCCTGCCACCAAGCCGCACCTCGCTCTGTGTTTCAACCCCGCACCTTCCCACCTCACAGCTCTTGCGTTTCTCCTGGTATTCTTTTGTCAGACATGTCCTGATTTCGCTGCACTTGGATAGTCCAAAGTTATTCATGAAATCATGAAATATTTTCTATAGACATGCGACACATGATGTTGCCGCGAAAGTCAGGTGCAACTGCTTCTATGACCTATTTCCAAAAATATTTGCCCAACCACCCGGAGAAACATCCCATGACTATACGCTTTGTTTCTCGACGGCAGCTGCAGCTGCCCCGCCTTCCGCGTCGCATCCTCGGCGCCCGAGGCCAGACGGCGCTGCATCCGGCGGCTGAGAACGGCCATGCCGCCGTGGTCGAGCAGCTGATCTCTGCGGGGGCCACGGTGCACGCGGCCAACAAAGCCGGCCATGGCCCCGGAAGGGTTTTCGGGTCGTTTTGGGAGTGGCTCTGACGAGGTGACGGAAGGGGTTCGTACATTGGCAGGTGATTTTCGTGCTTTTGCTTTGGGATGCTGAGTGGTATTCGTATACTTGTTGTTTAAGGATCTACTTTTTGTGATGGGATTGGCCTCTTGAAATTCGGGTGAAAGAAATGAGATGAAACGAGTAGAAAGCAGAAGGAATCACATGGTCTCAAAGTGTTCATTTTTTTTAAAATGACTTTGAGCTTGAAACAAATTTTGAAACTGTGATCGCCTTTAGGGAACAAATTTTGACAGCAGAACTGTCAGATATTTTCACTGCCAGCGGTAGAATGTAGTGATTTTATTCCCGAGAGCGTCTGAGCGCAGGGTTCTTCCAATAGTGGGGGCCTGTATCTCATCTTCTCATCTTCACAGCTTCTCATCTTCACATCTTCTCATCTTCACAGCTTCTCATCTTCTCATCTTCTCATCTTCACATCTTCTTCATCTTCACATCATCTTCACATCTTCACATCTTCTCATCTTCACATCTTCTCATCTTCTCATCTTCTCATCTTCGCACCTTCTCATCTTCACACCTTCTCATCTTCACAACTTCACATCTTCTCATCTTCACATCCTCACATCTTCACATCTTCTCATCTTCACATCTGCTCATCTTCACACCTTCTCATCTTCACATCTGCGCATCTTCACATCTGCTCATCTTCACATCTGCTCATCTTCACATCTGCTCATCTTCACACCTTCTCATCTTCACATCTTCTCATCTTCACAGCTGCTCATCTTCACATCTGCGCATCTTCACATCTGCTCATCTTCACATCTGCTCATCTTCACATCTGCTCATCTTCACATCTGCTCATCTTCACATCTGCTCATCTTCACATCCTCACATCTTCACATCCTCACATCTTCACATCTTCTCCTCTTGCCCTCTTGCCCTCTTGCCCTCTTGCTTTCTCCTTCTTTTCTATTTCTCTTCTGAAGGCGGGGGCAGGGCAGTGCAAACGAGACGGCACGAAACGCAACCATTTCGCACGAAATGAAGGTCGATCGTCAAAAATTGAGGTAAAATTGCGATTTTCCTTGTCCCGGAGCAACCCTTTCGCACGAAACGAGGGTCGATCGGCAAAAACTGAGGTAAAATTGCGATTTTTCGTGTGCTGGAGCAACCCTTTCGCACGAAATGAGGGTCGATCGGCAAAAACTGAGGTAAAATTGTGATTTTTCGTGTGCCGGAGCAACCCTTTCGCACGAAATGAGGGTCGATCGGCAAAAACTGAGGTAAAATTGCGATTTTGTGTGTGCCGGAGCAACCCTTTCGCACGAAATGATGGTCGATCGGCAAAAACTGAGGTAAAATTGCGATTTTGTGTGTGCCGGAGCAACCCTTTCGTACGAAATGAGGGTCGATCGGCAAAAACTGACGTAAAATTGCGATTTTTCGTGTGCTGGAGCAACCCTTTCGCACGAAATGAGGGTCGATCGGCAAATACTGAAGTAAAATTGCGATTTTTCGCGTGCTGGAGTAATCCTTTCGCAGGAAAAGGGGTTTGTGTGTACGAGCGTTTCTGTGTAAAGATGTTTGTGTGTAAAATTGTTTGTGCGTGTACAAGTGCATCTGTGCAGAAGTCTTGTGTGTAAAACCTTCTGTGTGTAAAAGTCTTTGTGTGTAAACGGGTTTGTGTGTACGAGTGTTTCTGTGTAAAGATGTTTGTGTGTAAAAGTGATTGTATGTAAAATTGCATCTGTTTAAACGTGTTTGTGTGTAAAAGCTTCTGTGTGTAGAAGTGTTTGTGTGTAAACGTGTTTGTGTGTCGGAGTGTTTTGGTGTAAAGATGTTTGCGTGTAAAAGTGTTCGTGTGTACAAGTGCATCTGTGTAAAAGTGTTTGTGTGTCAACGCTTTTGTGTGTAAAAGTGTATCTGTGTAAAAGGGTTTGTGTGTAAGAGTGTTTCTGTGTAAAGATGTTTGTGTGTAAAAGTGTTTGTGTGTAGAAGTGCATCTGTGTAGAAGTGTCTGTGTGTAAAAGCTTTTGTGTGTAAAAGTGTCTGTGTGTAAAAGGGTTTGTGTCTTAAAGCGTCTCTGTATAAAATGGCGTGTGTGCAGAAGGGTTTCTGTGTAAAAGGTGTTTCTGTGTGACAGCGGCAATGTGTGTGTAAAAGAAGCCTTGCTTACATGTTTTGTTTTCTTTGGCATGTTTGTTTTCCGGTCATCACATGTGTAAAAGGGTCTTTGTTAAAAGTGTCTGTGTGTAAAAGCGTCTGTGTGTAAGAGTGTCTGTGTGTAAAAGCATCTGTGTAAAAGCGTGTGTGTGTAAAAGCTTCTGTCTGTAAAAGCTTCTGTGGGTAAAAGCTTTGTGTGTAAAAGCGTCTGTGTAAAAGCGTCTGTGTGTAAAAGTGTCGGTGTGTAAAACCGTCCGTGTGTACAAGCGTCTGTGTGTAAAAGGGTCTGTGTGTGAAAGTGTCTGTCTGTAAAAGCTTCTGTATGTGAAAGCTTTTGTGTGTAAAAACTGCTGTGTGTAAAAGCTTCTGTGTGTAAAAGCTTTTGTGTGTAAAAGCGTCTGTGTGTAAAAGCTCCTGTGTGTAAAAGTGTTTGCGATGCAAACTATTGTCTTGTACTTGTGCTATATTGTCTTGTTACTAGTCTTCTCGACTGCCTATAACACATCTTTAATATAATGTTTTGTAATATGGTGTCTCCATACTAACAAGAGAAGACCCTGCTCCTCTACGCTCTCGGGCCATCCGTCGTCTAGTTTTTGTTGCAGGCATGTATCCTGAGTTTGAAAATGGAGAACACACGGGATCCCTGAAAGAACAGCTGTGAGGCATTGATTGTGCCAAACTTGACGCGACGAAACATTGAAAACTCAGCATGACAAATGGCGTGAGTGCCATGGGCTTGGGCACCTGGGCCAATCCCATTGGACAAGGCACGCAAACATCATATTTTTTTCAAAAATCATCAACATTCTCCTGCCATCATGAGATTAGTGTACTCCATTTTGTTCAGTTTGGTAATCCCTGATTTTTTAACTTCAGAAAACGGTTTATCGGCATTTGGATAGTCCAAAGTCCAAAGTTATTCATGAAATAGTTTCTAAACACGCGACACATGATGTTGTGAAAGTCAGGTGCAACTACTTTAAGATTATATAATATTTTAAACAACACGATAGAGCAAGAACATATTATGCGATGATTGCTCCTCTTGTTTTTCGCCATGCCTCACAGTGCCTCACACTAAAACATACAAAAAGTATCAGCTTGGCGGATCTGATGTTTATGATCTATATCCACAATTTTGCCCAACCACCCGGAGAAACATCCCATGACTATACGCTTTCTTTCTCGACGGCAGCCGCAGCTGTCCCCGCCTTCCGCGTCGCATCCTCGGCGCCCGAGGCTGGATGCCGCTGCATAGGGCGGCTGTGAACGGCCACGCCGCCGTGGTCGAGCAGCTGATCTCTGCGGGGGCCACGGTGGACGCGGCCGACAACAACGGCCGTGGCCTCGGAAGGGTTTTCGGGTCGTTTTGGGAGTGGCTCTGACGAGGTGACGGAAGGGGTTCGTACATGGGCAGGTGATTTTCGTGCTGTGCTTTGGGATGCTGAGTGGTATTCGTATACTTGTTGTTTAAGGATCTACTTTTTGTGATGGGATGGGCCTCTTGAAATTCGGGTGAAAGAAATGAGATGAAACGAGTAGAAAGCAGAAGGAATCACGTGGTCTCAAAGTGTTCAGTGGATTTGTTTTTTTGAAATGATTTTGAGCTTGATCCCACATTTGTCTTTGAAATTGTGATCGCCGTATGGAACAAAATTTGACAGCAGAGCTGTCAGATTTTTTCACTGCCAGCGGTAGAATGTAGTGATTTTATTTTTGTTGCAGGCATGTATCATTGGAGTTTGAAAATGGAAAACGTATGGGATCCCTGAAAGAACAGCTGCGAGGCATTGACTGTCCCACACTTCACGCAACCAAACATTGAAAACTCAGCATGACAAATGGCGTGAGTGCCATGGGCTTGGGCACCTGGGTCAATCCCATTGGATATTTAGGTGTCCGAGGCACGCAAGCATTATATTTTTAAATCAAAGTTCATCAAAATTTCCTGTCATCATGAGATTAGTGTACTCTATTTTGTTCAGTTTGGTAATCCCTAAAAACTCTTATTTCTTAACTTGAGAAAACGGTTTATCCGCACTTGGATAGTCCAAAGTTATTCGTGAAATAGTTTCTAAACACGCGACACATGATGTTGCGAAAGTTAGGTGCAACTGCTTTAAGATTTTAAACAACACGATAGCAAAAACATGTTATGCGATGATTGCTCCTCTTGTTTTTCGCCATGCCTCACAGTGCCTCACACTAAAACATACAAAAAGTATCAGCTTGGCGGATCTGATATTTATATATCCACAATTTTGCCCAACCACCCGGAGAAACATCCCATGACTATACGCTTTCTTTCTCGACGGCAGCCGCAGCTGTCCCCGCCGTCCGCGTCGCATCCTCGACGCCCGAGGCGAGACGGCGCTGCATCGGGCGGCTGACGGAGGCCACGCCGCCGTGGTTGAGCAGCTGATCTCTGCTGGGGCCAAGGTGGACGCGACCCGCAACGACGGCCGTGGCCTCGGAAGGGTTTTCGGGTCGTTTTGGGAGTGGCTCTGACGAGGTGACGGAAGGGGTTCGTACATGGGCAGCTGATTTTCGTGCTGTGCTTTGGGATGCTGAGTGGTATTCGTATACTTGTTGTTTAAGGATCCACTTTTTGTGCTGGGATGGGCCTCTTGAAATTCGGGTAAAAGAAATGAGATGAAACGAGTAGAAAGCAGAAGGAATCACGTGGTCTCAAAGTGTTCACTGGATTTGTTTTTTTGATGATTTTGAGCTTGATCCCACATTTGTCTTTGAAATTGTGATCGCTGTATGGTATGGAACAATTTTTGACAGCAGAGCTGCCAGATATTTTCACTGCCAGCGGTAGAATGTGATTTTATTTTTGTTGCAGGCATGTATCCTGAGATTGAAAAGAAAGAGAAAAAATGGAAAACACATGGGATCCTTCAAAGAACAGCTGTGAGGCATTGATTGTCCCCAAACTTGACGCGACCAAACATTGAAAATTCAGCATGACAAATGGATACAAATGCCGTGAGCTCCATGTGCTTGGGCACCTGGGTCAATCCCATTGGATATTTAGGTGTCCAAGGTACGCAAGCATCATATTTTTAAATCAAAATTCATCGAAATTTCCTGTCATCATGAGATTAATGTACTCCATTTTGTTCAGTTTGGTAATCCCAAAAAAAAAATATTTCCTAACTTGAGAAAACGGTTTATCCGCATTTGGATAGTCCAAAGGTATTCATGAAATAGTTTCTAAACAGGCGACACTTGATGCTGCGAAAGTCAGGTGCAACTGCTGGTAAGATTTAAACAACACGATAGAGCAAGAACATATTTGCGATGATTGCTCCTCTTGTTTTTCGCCATGCCTCACACTAAAACGTAAAAAAAGTATCAGCTTGGCAGATCTTCTATCATCTTCTATCTATGACCTATCCACATTTTGCCCAACCACCTGGAGAAACATCCCATGACTATACGCTTTCTTTCTCGACGGCGGCCGCAGCTGTCCCCGCCGTCGGCGTCGCATCCTCGGCGCCCGAGGCCGGACGGCGCTGCATAACGCGGCTCACGAAGGCCACGCCGTCGTGGTCGAGCAGCTGATCTCTGCGGGGGCCCAGGTGGATGTGGCCAGCAAACTCGGCCGTGGCCTCGGAAGGGTTTTCGGGTCGTTTTGGGAGTGGCTCTGACGAGGTGACGGAAGGGGTTCGTACATTGGCAGGTGATTTTCGTGCTTTTGCTTTGGGATGCTGAGTGGTATTCGTATACTTGTTGTTTAAGGATCTACTTTTTGTGATGGGATGGGCCTCTTGAAATTCGGGCAAAAGAAATGAGATGAATCGAGTAGAAAGAAGAAGGAATCACGTGGTCTCAAAGTGTTCACTGGTTTTTTTTATGTTTTTTTAAAGTGTTTTTTCAATGATTTTGAGCTTGATCCCACATTTGTCTTTGAAATTGTGATCGCCATATGGAACAAATTTTGACAGCAAAGCTGTCAGATATTTTCACTGCCAGCGGTAGAATCTAGTGATTTTATTTTTGTTGCAGGCATGTATCCTGAGATTGAAAATTAAGAGACAAATGGAAAACACGTGGGATCCCTGAAAGAACAGCTGTGAGGCATTGATTGTCCCAGACTTGACGCGACCAAACATTGAAAACTCAGCAAGACAAATGGATACAAATGGCGTGAGTGCCATTGGCTTGGGCACCTGGGTCAATACCATTGGATATTTAGTTGTCCGAAGCACACAAGCATCATATTTTTAAATAAAAACTCGTTAAATTTTCCTGTCATGAGATTAGTGTACTCTATTTTGTTCAGTTTGGTAAGCCGTGAATTATTTCTTAACTTCAGAAAAGGGTTTATCCGCATTTGGATAGTCCAAAGGTATTCATGAAATAGTTTCTAAACACGTGACACATGATGTTGAGAAAGTCAGGTGCAACTGCTTCTAAGATTAAAAAAACACGATAGAGCAAGAACATATTTTGCGATGATTGCTCCTCTTTTGTTTTTCGCCATGCCTCACACTAAAAACATACAAAAAGTATCAGCTTGGCAGATCTCCTATCTATATTATCTATGACCTATCCAAAAATATTTGCCCAACAACCCGGAGAAACATCCCATGACTATATACGCTTTGTTTCTCGACGGCAGCCGCAGCTGTCCCCGCCTTCCGCGTCGCATCCTCGGCGCCCGAGGCCTGACGGCGCTGCATTGGGCGGCTCGGAACGGCCATGCCGCTGTGGTCGAGCAGCTGATCTCTGCTGGGGCCAAGGTGGACGCGACCCGCAACGACGGCCGTGGCCTCGGAAGGGTTTTCGGGTCGTTTTGGGAGTGGCTCTGACGAGGTGACGGAAGGGGTTCGTACATTGGCAGCTGATTTTCGTGCTTTTGCTTTGGGATGCTGAGTGGTATTCGTATACTTGTTGTTTAAGGATCTACTTTTTGTGATGGGATGGGCCTCTTGAAATTCGGGCAAAAGAAATGAGATGAATCGAGTAGAAAGAAGAAGGAATCACGTGGTCTCAAAGTGTTCACTGGTTTTTTTAAAGTGTTTTTTCAATGATTTTGAGCTTGATCCCACATTTGTCTTTGAAATTGTGATCGCCATATGGAACAAATTTTGACAGCAAAGCTGTCAGATATTTTCACCATAGAATGTAGTGATTTTATTTTTGTTGCAGGCATGTATGTGCCAGACTTGACGCGACCAAACATTGAAAACCCAACATGACAAATGCCGTGAGTGCCATGTTTTTGGGCACCTGGGTCAATCCCATTGGATATTTAGGTGTCCGAGGCACGCAAGCATCATATTTTTAAATCAAAGTTCATCAAATTGTCCTGTCATCATGAGATTAGTGTACTCTGTTTTATTCAGTTTGGTAATCCCTAAAAAAAATTATTTGTTATTTTCTTAATTTGAGAAAGCGGTTTATCCGCATTTGGATAGTCCAAAATTATTTATGAAATAGTTTCTAAACACGCGACACATGATGATGCGAAAGTCAGGCGCAACTGCTGGTAAGATTTAAACAACACGATAGAGCAAGAACATATTTGCGATGATTGCTCCTCTTGTTTTTCGCCATGCTTCACACTAAAAGATAAACTAAAAGCATCAGCTTGGCAGATCTGATTTATATATATATATATAATATATTTATGACCTATCCACAGTCTTTTGCCCAACAACCCGGAGAAACATCCCATGACTATATACGCTTTGTTTCTCCACGGCAGCCGCAGCTGTCCCCGCCGTCCGCGTCGCATCCTCGACGCCCGAGGCGAGACGGCGCTGCATCGGGCGGCTGACGGAGGCCACGCCGCCGTGGTTGAGCAGCTGATCTCTGCTGGGGCCAAGGTGGACGCGACCCGCAACGACGGCCGTGGCCTCGGAAGGCCAGGAAGGGTTTTCGGGTCGTTTTGGGAGTGGCTCTGACGAGGTGACGGAAGGGGTTCGTACATTGGCAGCTGATTTTCGTGCTGTGCTTTGGGATGCTGAGTGGTATTCGTATACTTGTTGTTTAAGGATCCACTTTTTGTGATGGGATGGGCCTCTTGAAATTCGGGTAAAAGAAATGAGATGAAACGAGTAGAAAGCAGAAGGAATCACGTGGTCTCAAAGTGTTCACTGGATTTGTTTTTTTGAGGATTTTGAGCTGGATCCCACATTTGTCCTTGAAATTGTGATCGCCGTATGGAACAATTTTTGACAGCAGAGCTGCCAGATATTTTCACTGCCAGCGGTAGAATGTATAGTGATTTTATTTTTGTTGCAGGCATGTATCCTGAGATTGAAAAGAAAGAGAAAAAATGGAAAACACATCGGATCCTTCAAAGAACAGCTGTGAGGCATTGA